TAAAAAGAAAGAAAAAAAAGAAATAAAATTGGCAAAAAAAGCAAAAAAATTAACATGGAATTAGAAAGAAAAAAAGAAAGAAAGAAAGAAAAAAAATTAAAAAAAAAAAAAGAAAGAAAAAAAAAAAGAAAGAATGAAATAGAATGAAAAGAAAGAAAAAAAAAAGAAAAAAGATGGAATAATGACGAAAAAAAAAAAAAAAGAAAGAAAGAAAGAAAGAAAGAAAAATAAATCAACAAAAAGAAAAAAAGACGAATGAAAAAAAAGAAATGAGAAATTAAAAAAAAAAAAAACAAGATGAAAATAGACGAATGAAAAAAGAAAAAGAAAGAAAAATAAATCAACAAGATGGAAATAGACGAATGAAAAGAAAGAAAGATAGAAAGAAAGAAAGAAAAATAAATTAACAAGAAGGAATTAGACGAATGAAAAGAAAGAAAGACAAAAAAATAAAGAAAGAAAGAAAGAAAAATCAACAAGAGGGAAATGACGAATTGAAAAAAATGATAAAAGAAAGAAAAAAATGAAAAAAAAAGAAAAAACGAAAAACAGAAAGAAAGAAAATAAATCAAAAAGAGAGAAATAGACGAGCGAAAAAGAAAGAGAATAATAAATCACCAAGAGATAAATAGACGAATGAAAAGAAAGGAATAAAGAAAGAGAAAACGAAGAAGAAAGGAAGAAAAATAAATCAGCAAGAGGCAAATAGACGAATGAAAAGAAAAGAAAGAAAGAAAGAAAGGAAAAAAAAACGAAAAAGAAAGAAAGGAAGAAGGAAAGAAAAGAAAAATCAATCAGCAAGAGAGAAATGGATGAATGAAAATGAAGAAACAAAGAAAGAAAGGAAGAAATAAAATAAATCACCAAAAGAGAAATAGACGAGTGAAAAGAAAAGAATAAAGAAAGAAAAGAATAAAAAAGGAAAGAAAAAAACGAAAAAAAGAAAGAAAGAAAAAATAAATCAATAAGAGGGAAATAGACGAATGAAAAGAAAGAAAGAAAGAAAGGGAGGAAGAAAGGAAGTAAGGAAGGAAAATAAATCTACAATAGGGAAATACACGAATGAAAAAACTGAAAAACAGAAAGCAAAAGCAACTGTGAAAAAAAAATGTTCATGGCAAGATGGGAATAGACAAAAGAAAAAGAATGAAAGAACTATTAAAAATATAGATGAATAAAGAGGAAAATAAATTCATTTAAAGTTAAAAAGGAAAGAAATAAAATAGAAGGGAAAGGAAGACATCTGTGTACAAAGAAAAATATTTTTAAAAGATGGACGACAGATGCGGAGAAATAAAGAAAAAAGTGAATAGAAGAAAAAACAATAACTTGAGGACAAAGAAAAACAATTGAAAACAAGGACGATGGAAAAATATAAATAAAGGAAATTGAAGAATTAATGTCGGAAGAAAGAAACAGACCACGAAAGAAAACGAAGAGAACAAAAGAAACGAAGAACGAAATTTACAGTAAAACCAATAATTTGAGGACAAAGAAAAATAAACTAAAATGGTGAACGATAACTGAATAGGTATCGTTAAAGAAGGAAAGAAAAAATGAAAAAAATACGGATAATTTTGAAAAGAAAAACATACTATAAATAGAAAGAAAATGGTAAAAGAAAAAAATGATAATCTGAGGAAAAAGAAGAATACAAACGACTAGATAGACAGCATAGATGAAAATTGAATAAGGAACGAAAATGAAAGAGAAATGAATAATTTGAGGAAAATTATATTAATAAGAAAAATATATTAAAACAGTAAGACAGACGAATAGAAAAGAAAAAAAGAAAATTGAAAGGAAAATCGAATAAATGTTAGAAAAAACAAATCTCCAAAGTTACAAAAACGACAGACGAATAAAATGAAGGAAGTAAAGAGAGAAAATGGAAAAAAGAAAAGAATGATAATTTGAGGACAAAAAATAAACTAAATAAGAGAACGGCAGAGGAATACAAAACAAAAAAAAAGAAAGTAGAAGAAAATAGAACAATTTGCTGACAAAGAAAATAAACTCAGATTAAAACAGACGAATAGAAATAAAGAAAGGAAGAATGAAAGAACAAAAAAGTGTAGAAAAAAAAAAACAAATGTCAGAAAAGCGAACGACAGACGAATAGAAGGAAATAAATAAAGGAAATTGAAGAAAAAAGAATAATTTGAGGTCAAAGAAAATGAATTGAAAAAAAAAGAGTCAAAGAGACGAATAGAAAAAAAGAAAATTGAAAAGAAAAAAAGAAATGTGAGAATAAATAAATAAAAAAAAAGAACGAGAAACGATTAGAACCAGAGTAAGAAAGAATGAATGAAAGAAAGAAAATAGAATGAAAAAGAATAGAGAAAATAAACTAACTCAAAGGAAGACATACTACGAGAAAGAAAGAAAAAAGAATATCGAAGAAAAAAAAAACAAATAAATATAAGAAGAATGAAACGGTAAAAAACGAGAACGACAATAGAATGGAATGAATGAAGGAAAGAAAGAAAGAAAGAAAAAAAGAAAAAATATGAGAACTAATAAAATAAACTTAAACAGAACTGCAACGGAATAGAAAATATAAATATATATATATATATATATATATGGTAAAATAGATGTGAGTTTTGAATAGGTTTATAAATATGCGATCGTAGACAGCACTTCCTAAGCATAATATTATATAAAATATAAATAAAAAATATATATATTATATATATATATATATATATATATATATATATATATATGAGAGAGAGAATATTAGTGGTAAAATATATATACATATGCAAAATATATAAATACTCATCCATGAATATTTTTTTTGAATTTTGTCAAGAGGAAGAATTCAATAGAACAAATGTCTCAGGACTGGGAAAAATAAAAAAACTTATTTAAAAACTAATATTCCATGGTCAAATGAATTCCAATGGAATAAATTGTGGCCATGGAATGTGGCATGTTTAATATATAGTTTAATAAATAATATATATATATATATATATATATATATATATATATGAAGAGATAGATAGATAGATAGATAGAATTTAAACTGAAGAGAATAATTTGAGGACAAAGAAAATAAAGTCAGTGGAAGACAGGCGAATAGAAAGAAAGAAAGAAAGAAAGAAGTTAGGTAGGTAGCAGAAAATACATAAATATGACAATGAAAAATAAGTTAAAAAAAGAGAGAGGAAGGTAGTCGAATGAAATGAAAGAAAGGTCGAAAATAGAGGGAAATGAATGAGAAAGAAAAAAATTGTGTACTACTATAGTATGAAATCTACCGTCCATTTTCAACTATTGTATGATGTCTACCTGGATTGCGGTGTTACGGATATCGGCTCAGACTGAGAACATGTTCTAATTCAAGTCGAGGTCGTTATATTTACTTACCTACAAATAGATTTAGGAAAGATATGAATACATCTCTTCTTCCAGCTATAGGTTGACTGGGTTTTTTAGCCTTGGCCGGTAACCACTCTACCGCAGAAAGAAAAAAAAACTCCTTCGTTAGTCATAATTAAAAGAAAATGATTTTTTAAACTTATGAAATTACATGTATAGCACTTAACAGACTGACTGATATCTATTGTTCATTTTCTATTATTGTATGATATTTATCGATTGTTTGGAGTATGAGATGTGTCAGGGTTAAAGGAAGTGAACTGGTTATTTATTAAAAACCATTAACAATTTTTTATAAAGAAAAAAATAGTGATTTTAATGTTTGTAAACTGTTTTGATCTCATACATATATATATATATATATATATATATTATATATATACAAAAAAAAAAAAAAAACAAACAGGTTATCGTTTTTCCTGAGCCTTTTCCAGCAATAATGATTGCATCATCATTTACGGTAGGTCGCAAACTCTTCAGTAGATATACTATAGTAGCACCGTTTCTTTATCCTAGAGCAGCTGGCAATCAAGGTTATAGTACCTACTAGAGCTGTAGGGGCGCATCAGCAGTGTTAACTGGACAAGATAGACTGAGGCAGCCAAACCCTCTGGTTTGAATTCAGTGTTTCTTTGGTGTTACTATAGTATGATGTCTACTGTTCACTTTTACTGTCCTGGGTAAGGCGATAAACAACGGTCATTCGCTATCCTCTCTTTCTCTCGATATCCTCTTTTTCTTTCTTTCACTTGCTCTCCTCTTTCTTTCTTTCCTTCTTTCTTTTTTTCACTCGCTCTCCTCATTTTCACTCGCTATCCCCTCTTTCTTTCTGTTGAGATGTTGTGAGTTTCCCGCGTGTCGGTGTATGAATCAAGACAAACACAGTTGTAGAGGAAAATACTGGTATATTCATAAAAGCAATTAATAGAGTGATTAGTAGAACGAAGGTTGGTTCGTACGAAACATTATCCAAAGTCTATAGTCCAACGGTATGTACCGGGTAAGCTTATCTGGACTGCTCACGCTGACTCTCCCCAGAGCTGACTTATATAAGAGGGACCAGTCCATTACTAGTTAGAAGGTGGGTGCGCCCCAACACCCCCACTAAAATTGTTTTTGTTTTTTTTCTTTTTCATTGTGGGGAGAAAAAAAAAATTAATATTTTTTTCCTTTTCGGGTCTATTATTAAATTTTGTGTCGCTTTACGTTTTCTTGAAGATCTGCGTTGTTTCTGCTCAGTCTGCGGTATTTGCAGGTCAAACGTATCAAACAATTCGTGTAATTCGTCTTCTTGTGGAATTACTTCCGGTTCGTCGGTCTTTCTTTTCTTCAACTGGTTAAGGTGCTGTTTGTGTGTAAATTTGTTTCCTTGTATAATGTATACCATATCCCCAATGCGTTTTTTATGACCCCTGGTTCCCATGATGTTGCATTATTTGTATAATTTTTAAAAAAAATTTTCATTAATGTTAAATTTTCGCCTGGGAACCATAGCGACTGTTGAGTACCTTATTTTCTGGTATCAATTTGTCAAAAACCGATCTGACCTTTCTTGCAAACATTAGTTCCGCAGGTGATAGGCTTGATGGGGCAGATTTATTCGGGGTAATTCGGTACACTTGCAGGAATAGATGTAACGCTTTTCTAGTCGGGGTACCTGTTGCTTTCCTAAGAGCTCTTTTCAGTGTATCGACGAACCTTTCGGCTAGTCCGTTGCTGCGTGGGTGATACGGAGGAATCGTCACGTGATCAACTTGGAAATTTTGGCAGAATTCTGTGAATTCTTTGCTTGTGAATTGGGTACCGTTGTCACTAACAACAGTATCTACCACCTTAAACCTTGCAAATAATTCATGTAATTTGTTTGTATTTTGAGATGTTGGCTTCTTCATTTGAAAAACTTCGGGCCATTTACTAAAACTGTCGACTACGACCAAATAATGTCATCCGTCAATTGGACCCGCAAAATCAATGTGAATCCTTGACCATGGCCTGTCGGTTTTTGTCCATGGCTTCTGTAGAATTTGTGGTGATTTTGATGCCAAAATGCAGCCTTTACATCTGCCGACCATAGACGCGATGTCGTTGTCCATACCTGGCCAGTAGACGTATGCTCCCATGAGGCTCTTCATTCTATTTATGCCCGGGTGACCAGCATGAAAGTCTTTCAGTATTCTTTTTTGGAGTGTGTTAGGGATTATCACCCTTTCACTGTATAATAGCACATTATCGCACAGAGAGAATGTCTCTTGAATTTTTTTCATCTTTACTGGCGAGCTTATTTTTATTTCTATTATATATTTGTCTTTTTCTGCTTCTTTTTTGATGTCCTTAAGCGATACTGGTAATTCTCGTATTGCGTTTGCCAAAATTTTCTTCAACCTCGTCCTCTGCTCTGAGGGAAGCGATTACCGTATCCTCTAAAGGTTCTGTTGCTTTTGGGATGAGTCTTGATAGCCCATCTGCGTGACCAATTTTGTGGTTGGACATATATTGTATTCTGAAATTATGATTTAATAAAATTGTCCCCCACCTAAGCAATCTATTTGCGGTGTAAGTTGGCAGACCCTTTTTTGAGCCGAATATCGTTACCAGAGGTTTGTGGGTCTGTCTGCGTGAAAAACCGTCCATGTATGTATCGATGGAATTTTGTTACAGCGAAGATAATCGCCAATGCCTCTTTCTCAATTTGTGAATAGTTTCGTTCAGCAGGTAGTAGCGATCTGCTTGCATGAGCGATCGGTCGAACTTTTCCATTCTTCCACTTGTGCAATATGCACGCACCTACGCCGTGTGTACTGGCATCGCTCGCCACGATATCTACCTTTGGATCAAAATGTACAAGAAATAGATCTGAAGTTAATTTTTCTTTTATATCCCTGAATGCTTGCTCGCATTCTTTTGTCCAAATCCAAGGTTTTTCTTTTTTTAGTAGATCGTTAAGGGGAGCTCGTAGAATGTGGAGGTCTGGGATAAAGTCCTGGTAATATGACACCAAGCCTAAAAAACTTTGTAGGATTTAATATCCTTTGGCTCAGGCATATTTTTTTTATTGCTGAAGCTCAACTTTTATCTGGCTTTTCCCCTTCTTTATTCACTATATGTCCCAGATACTTGATCTCTTCCAGGAGAAAATCGCATTTGTTTTCTTTCACTGAAATCCATATCTTCTTAACCTTTCGAAAACTTTGCGTAAATGGTGTTTGTGTTCATCCACCGATTCACTTTTTTACAAGAATATCGTCGAGATATGCTATTGTGTAGTCTAACCCGGATAAAATCGTATCCATAATTTTCTGGAATATTGCGGGTTCTGTCTTCACCCCGAACAGTAAACGTTCGTATCTAAACAAGCCTTTATGTGTGTTAATACATAGTAACTTTGCACTTTCGTTATCCATGGGTACTTGCAAGCATGCCTCGCTAAGATCTATTTTCGAAAAGATTTTTCCGCCATTTAACTTTGCGAACACTTCTTCGGGACTTGGTAGTGGATAGTGAAACTCTTCTATTGCGTCGTTTAACCCGGTTGAAAAATCGGCGCAGACGCGAATTTCGCCCGACTTCTTTACGTAGACAGCCGGAGCTGCCCAGTCACTGTATTCTGTTTTCGAGATCACACCAATTCTAGTTAGTCTTTCGAGTTCTTGATCAATTTTTTCTAATGCGGCAAAAAGGGATGCTACGCTTTTTTTTAAAAAATTGGTTGGATATTTTTCTTCAGCTGTATTTTTGCTGATGCTTCAGTGCAACGTCCAAGTCCTTCAGCAAAAACTTTGGGGAATTCCGTTTTCAATTCTGCTTGTAGATTTTTTATATGGTCTTTGCTTTCACTAATGTTATAAAAAAAAGAACTAATGGGCACGTCCCATAGGTTGAACTTAGTGATTGCGTCAGTCCCAAACAGGTTGTTTGTGTTTTTCATTACAAACATTTTCATTTTATCGACTTATTGTTGAAAGTTATATTTACCCATATTTCCCTTCAAATTTTATCTTTTTCCAGTTACCGTCCTGGCTATTTTGTTGGATTTTAGCAACGTTGGTTTTCCTAGATTTTTCCATGTTTGCGTGTTAATGATTGAAATGTCAGATCCTGAATCTAGTTGCATTTTTACCTTCTTGTTGTACATTTTTACATGCAGGTATTTTCGAATATTCAGGTCTTGATCTTCGTCTAACTTGGTAACTTTTACTCGACTTCTGTTTAATTTTCTACACTTTGACATTTTATGTCCTACTTTTTGCAATTTCTGCACGCTTTATTTTTATATGGGTAGTCATTGTACCAGTGCCACTGGCCACATCCATAACATGCACTCGGAGGGTTTTTTTTTTTTTCTATAGCCTCTGTTCGTTCTTGTAGTAGGATACCACTTCCGTTCCGGCGATGGAGAACTGAAACTAGTCTTCCTATATATTTTCTTCACATTTGCGATAGCAGTTTCTTCTATTTTTTCTGAATCTTGCTTAATGCTTACGCATTGCTGACAGTACTCAGCTTTTGTAGTGTCATGTTTTGGTCATTTTCTAGTTTTGTTAAAATGCGTCTTCGCATTTCACTATCTTTTTTAGACACTAAGCCTAGCACGAATATTAGACACTTGAAATGGTCCGCCGATAATTCGGACAAGCGAAAATCGTCACACGTCTTATTTACGATTGACGCGAACGTTGTGTAATCTTCCTCCTCGCTTTTTTGGATATTCAGGCATTTTCACCTTTTGTGAAATGAAAATCTGGGATTAAAAAGCTCTTTTAATAATTCAATTGCTTCATCGAATTTTAAATCTCTTGTCTTTTTGGGCAATATAAAATCTGTAAACTTGTTTTGTTCTGCCGTTCCCAGTTTTCGTAGCAATAATCTTATTTTTTTCTCATCTGTCCATGTTTGGCAATCAACTTCATAAAAATTCTGATATCTATGGTAGTATCTTTCGAAAGTCTTTTCCTCTTCTGGGATATAAGTAAAACTTTCGATCGTTGACCATATTGTGTCTTTGGGAAAAAAAATTTTCATCCGAGTCATCTTGGACAGTATGTACAAGTTCGGCCATTGCTAACTGTTTCTTTTCATTTTCTTGTATTTTGTGTAGTTCAGAAATCGTTTTGCGTTTTCTTCCTTTTTTTGCTCTTTCTGAAATTTAAGTTGTTCTTCTTGAATTTTAAGTTGCTTTTTCTGAAAACGTTCTTCATTCTCTTGCTGTCTTTGCATCTGATATTTAATGAGTTCCAGCATAGTTGATTGAAATTGCTCCATGATTATGGATGTGTAGAAAAAAAAAAATTATGTTTTTTTTCTCTCTGAGGGGGGCAAAAAAACTCAAATTTTCGGGCACAAAAATTGGTTATTATAGCTTCCAATTTAATCAATAAGTTAATGTCTAACTTAGTTTTTTCTTTTTGTCGATAACTTGTCATCCTTTGCTGTAAATGCTTGAACTCTTTTAAAATTTTTCCGTGTTGGAAATCGGTTCTTATTTCTGTTCGAAGCCAAGTCGCCACTGTTGAGATGTTGTGAGTTTCCCGCGTGTCGGTGTATGAATCAAGAAAAACACAGTTGTAGA